GGGGCGGGCGCCCAGAGCCTCCCTGGGTGACCGGTGGCTTGGTGTCGGGTGCCAGGCTGGAGACGATGTAGCCAGGGAGGGAGCTGGGAGGGGGCTGGAGCCCGAGACTCCCACACACACAGTGGAACAGCAGCTGCAGGGGGCCACAATATCTGGCCCTGTGTGGGACCGAAGGTCCCCGGACCTCGCACCAGCGTGGCTGGTGGTGGGCTGGGAGATGGGGAAAGAAAAGTAAGTCTCATGTTCGGAGAATCTCACAAGTTCACCTATGCCGTTGCCATCTTGTTCCCATCTCCCAAAACTCTTTATCATAATTCATAGCTGATGTTTAAAGTTTTGTTTTCTGGATTTCTGTAATAATTGTTAAATCTCATTTTATTCCTAAATTATACAATTTTCTTGTTGTTTCTTGCTGTTTGGATATCTTTGGTTCATGTTGTATTTTCAACTGACTTTGACCAAAAGAATTTTTTTATCTTTAAGTGTTGAGAGAGGAATTCTTTGAAATAAAAATGTCCAACTTTTATTTTATGAAGAAAGTTTTTCAGGTTTTACCAACATTTGATAATCAAAATAATGATTAAATCATTTGTGTAAATGATTTATATTTTATGATTTAAAATACATTAAATATTAAACATACTAACATTACTTGCCAATATGTCAAATCCATGAAATATGTCTAGAGGTGAGACAGGAGATAGCTAGAAAAAGACTAGGCAGACAGATAGGAAGGTCCACTGGTAACAATGTAGTGAATTCCCAGCAGGCATCTCAGGCTCAGCATTGGTAAACAAGCTCCCTGAAAGTCTCTCAAGCTACAGCTTAATTACTCACTGCTGGAATCGAAAAGCTACCAATCAGTTCACCATTAGGCCCCTACCTCTTGCCAATTGGCCCTCAATACTGACCAATCAGAACAGTACAGCTAATAGCTAGTGCTAGCCAATCGTCTTGGACCTAGGGCTGTATAAGCACCAGGTTTCATCCCAGAGATGGTCAACCCCTTTGGGTTCCCTCCCACTGTGGGACCTTCCCCGTCCTCTCAATCAATCCTGCTTTCTCACACTTTCTGGCCCTCTGTGTTCCTCATTCTTCCTGGGCATGAGGCAAGAACCTCAGCCCTGAAGAGCTGCGGCCTGAAGAGCTGCCGAAGATCATTGGAGGCAGACAGCCATACATCCCAGAAGTTGGCTTGACAGCTGATGAAGTCAGCTGAACCAGGAGAGCTGCCAGAAGAAGGCAAAACTGCGAAGTTGAGACACCCCAGGGGCTAGACTTGCCAGCCCACTGAACCAGCAATGCACTCAGGGCCTGGCTTGCCAGCCATCGAGCCCACACTCCGGGGGCTAGGCTTGCCAGCCTACCAAATCACAACACTCTTGCAAGCCCATTGTAGCTGACGTTTCTGGGGCTAGGTTTACCAGCCCTTCAAGTCAACCCTCTCTGGGCCTCAGCTGGCCAATCCATTGAGCTGACACTATGGAAGCCCAGGCTGACCTGAAAAATTTGCATCAGAAGTATATTTTTTTCACAAAAAATACACAGATAAAGATAATCCACATTCTTCTCCAGGTCCAACCCTATTTCTCCCCTCCATTTCAAGGGCAAATCTCTCACAATTATTTTTCTTCTCCGATTAACTCCCACCTATTCCAATATGGTTTCTGCTGATTAACTCTACCAATCCTCTTCTCACTAAGACCTCCACTGCCATCTATTTTCCAGATGCAGCAGGCAGTTTTAATCCACATTTTTAAAATCTATTGATTCTTCTAAGTAAATTCATTTTTTAAAATACGCTTCTATTAGCATTCTCCCTTGTCCTTCTGATGTAAGTTATTCCAACTCTGTTTCCTTTGTGACACTTCTCTCCCCTCCCTTTATAGATAGAAGGTCCTCAGGCTCAAAATTAAGTCTTTTTGTCCCTCTACACTCTGTCCCCACAAAACCACTTCCATTTTGTGGCTTTCAGTTGACAGTTGTGAGCCTCCAGGAATTGTATTCTTTGGAAATTGTAAACTCATATATCCAACTGGCAATGGACATCTGCACTTACATGTTTAAAAGTCAATCTGTAGAGGATGTGACTGCCTTTATTTTTATATCCTCTCATGCCTTGTTCTACCTTCTACTGAGAGGAATTCATTGGTATTTTCTTTTTTTTTTTTTTGAGTTGGAATCTCACTTGGTCGCCCAGACTGGAGTGCAGTGGCCGCTCCTGGCCACCGCAGCCTCGCCTGCTGGGCTCCAGCAATCCTTCCGCCTCAGCCTTTTGAGTAGCTGGAATTAAAGGCATGAGCTACCACGCCTGGCTGATTTTTTTTTTTTTTTTGATTTATTGTAGAGATGAGGTCTTGCTGCCCAGGCGGGTCTCAAACCCGCAGGCTCAGGCAATCCACTCACCTCAGCCTCCCAAAGGACAGGATTACAGGCTGAGCCACCAAGACCGGCTCACTGGTATTTTCTTACTTTGCATTATAGAATTTAACATAAGTGATATTAATTAAGCTGATTATTGTTCATAAGTTTCTTTCCCTACAAAAATGAAAGACAAAAAAGAGCAGGAACTGTATTTGTTGTGTTCATTTCTACTTCCTGAATGCAGCCTAGAAACTGGCTTAGCAAAATTTATTCTTACTTACAACTTAAATATAAAAATGATGGGTAAATGAATTGAACCATTCATTCTTCAACCAGATAATCAACCTCGGAGTTTCATTTTAAAGAATAAACAAAGGGTACCTGCATGATCAATGTTTATATGCCCAACCCTGAAATATACCCCACATCTTTGTAATAAAAATTTTAAAAAAGAATAAACAAAAATAAGGAGTTTTCTACAGTAAAAATTTAATAAAGCAAAATAATAAACTGACTAAATATACACAACATATTATATTATATTCACCACAGTATAAATGTATACATGACATAACATGAAAAAAATTTAAATTTTATAAATAGTTAAATAAACATTTAAATAGATAAATAGTTACATCAGCTTGATGATTTGTAACGAACTAGAAGCTGAACACAATGTTGCTTCACATTCCAGAAAGCACTTGAAGAATCTGACTCAACTCATGTTTTGGTTAGAGCAGAAACAAGAATCTTTGAAATGAAAGAACTTATGAGAATGTGAGCTGGTGTATTAGTCAGTGAGAAATGTCTCCATAGTGAGCCAGGTCTCATTCCTTCTTCCTTAATCTTGCTTGTAAGTTTGCTGATAAAAAGAAGGATCTCGTGATTTCTGTTCTGACAACCTCCCAGGCACAAGGGCTGTATTTCTTCTCTTTCAGGTAGAGGGTGATTCTTTGGAAGTATTTCTTCATAGCCAGGTTGTAGTCCTCTTTCATCAGGGGCGTCTCTTTCACCTCCACCTCCTGCATCTCACAGGATTTCAGGTCATCCAGCTGCTGATAAAGTTCAGCGCGGAGTCTGTCTAGGAGGGTCTCGTTCCAAGCAGCAGATGAATTTGTTGTGCTGAAGAGGTTGAAGGTCTGCTGGATCATCTGATGGTGGACAGAGATGACTTGAGCCTTCTGGAACTGGTTGCCCTCAAACTCCTCCCAGGGGAATCCAAAGTTGTATCTGTCATTCAGGCAGGAGAAAGGAGAGATTCTCATTTGTGCCAGGAGTTTCAAGACCCTCCTGTGACCCAGGCCATGGGTCTGAGGCAGATCACAGCCCAGAGAGCAGATGGACTGGCTGCTGAGCACCACCAGGGCCATCAGCAAGGAAAAGGGCAAGGCCATTGTGGATGTTGCAGATGCTGCTGGGCTGGTTGAGATGGGTGACTCTGAACCTTGGGCTCTAGGAGCTCTGAAGATCTTGCTTTGTGCATAGGCTTAAATAGGGAACATGCTAGATTCCACTTTCTGAATGCCCCTGGGTTACTTTCTACTTCTGTTTTTGCTTTCCTTTATGTACTTTCTGCATATGTTTAGAGCAGTGTTTCTCAACTTAAAAAAAAATTATTGCTTTGCCCCTTTCTTGCCCCCAGATGTTTTTAGATACTTATTTTCTTGGTGAACGCCTCTTAAAAATTTAATAATATAGATATACTATATTTATTTATACACCCTATGTATTAGTTTATGTATTAACTGTACTTTATGTATCACTTAACTTATACATGAACAGTTTGATCTTTTTATTCAATGCAGGGCTAAGAATGACCACATGAAAAATTTAAAAAGTTAATAGTTATATTTAAAATCCATGAACATTCAATTTAGCTTAATAACTAAATTTGTTCATTGACTTTAATGTAATTTACTTATATTAATTGCAATGTGTCCAATTTCATAAGCAAATGAACAAATTATGAAAATGCATAATAACCCCTACTGTAATAAAATACTTAATACACAAGACTCCCCCCCAAAAAAATACTAAGAAATAAGATTTGTTGGGGCTGAGCTTTAGAGGGAGACAAACTATTAAAATAGTTAAGATTTGTTCCCACTCCCAAGAACAAATATTTATACTCTTGAGACCAATTTTGTATTCAATGAGAATACACAATTGAGGTATCATCGACTTGATTAAAACTTTTTCATTTATGTTTAAGTTTTTGAAAAACCCACAAAGGTTTCAATCTTAGTTGATTCTTATCAAGCTAAAGGAAGTACTAATTTTCCTAAAAGTCCACAATGGGATGTAAACATGATAAAGTAAATGCGCAGTACAATTGTTCTGCATAGCATACAAGACCCCACATATCTTTTTTTTCTCATTTCCATTTTCACTGAAGGAAAAAGTTATAACTTTTCGTATTCTAATAAATGGGGACAAAAGAAAACAAATGTATATCTAAATGTGATTAAAATGTAAAAAAAAAAAAAAAGCAACATTTCACTGGTGGAAAAAAATAACAAAATGTAACTTGGCTGCATTCAACCCAGCCAAGATGGAGATTAAGGGATGGGGAAAAGCAGAAACAAAATGATGGAAGGGAGATAGATCAAATTAGCAAATATACATGGGCTGGAGGCAAAGTAATTATTCATGGTCCATGTGGTGTTTCCAGCTTTGCAGAATCCAGAATCCAGTCACAAGAGTTTATACACAAGAAGGGCAATTTTTTGAATGTACAGTATTCTCTCTGGATAATGGGAAAATTGTTAATTTCATCAATGTATCCACTCACAGATAAACTCAGAATATCAATATTTTTCTTGTCATGTCTCTTACAAGAAAGAAGGGAATCGATCACCTCAGAGGACATTTCCCCCGTCTTAACATATTTAATAGCAAAGATAATGCTAATAGAAGGAATGAAATAGCTAAGTTGTGAAGGTTTTTATTTCCAGTCCGATATTGTTTTGCTGATAAGGAATACTCTCATTTTGTATATCTATTGAAAACCTGTCATATGTGTAGCTCCATTTTTTTCACTGGAGTTATCAGTGACCAAAGTAGACAGACAGATTCTAGTATTGTCCCCATTTATAAAGGAAAAAGCAGAAGGAACTAATGAATCGTGGAGCCACTGTTGGAGCCCAGAAAATCCAACTCAGAGTTCTCAGCTCTTACGTACTCTCTGGGAGTAATTCCAGCCATAAAAGCCAGAGCTGATTTCTAGACTCTACAGTATGTAGATTCTAGATACTTTATGGTGAGTCCTGCCTATGGAATGACAGGATCTCCTCTTCAACTTCTATTTGTCTCCTGCGCTGAAATGCCCTTATTTGTTCAAGCCAACATGCCACACTAAGATTAAGTTGGGTCCCATTTTATTTACACATTATATTATAATTTTGTCTCTTTATAATGTGTCTTCTTAAGCTTGAATGTTTTTGTAGAACACTTTGCTCACACCAGAAAAATGTATTCATAAACAACTCTCTGAAGCCCTGCATATTGCTACTCATTTATTCAAATACCCATAAGGCTTTAGATTCCTACTTGTTTTCCACAAGCCCAACTCAGGCTAAGGCTAAAGACACAAGCTCAATCAGAACTAAGCCAATGGGCTAAGGCTCAGAGATCCAGAAGAACACATCAGGAGGGAATCACTTGAGGGGTTAAAGGTGTGGAAATGGAAGCACTTCTGGAGAAATGAAGACAGTTCAGCGCCTTAGAGGAAGAGGATGAAATGACAGAAGACTCTGAGTCACCTGGCTTGTCAACTGGTTGATGTCTTTTATGTCTTTTATAGACCAGCAAAGTTTGCTGCTGGGTTGATTGTACTGACTTATTTTGAGCAACTTGTAAAGAAAATATTATACTGACTCTTGGTAAACCAGTAAGAAATAATTTATGTAAGACTATTGGGACAAGTGTCAAAACTATCACAACAGAGGAGAGAAACCAACTGAGACTCAACTCCAAATATAATAAATGCAGCCTGAGATTTGTAGGTAACAAGCAGAATAAGAGCTTGAGGGGGTCAGTGGGTGGAAAATTAGTAAGAAAATTCTTGCTAAATCAACTTGACAGAATTTTTGCCAAAGGTAGGCCAGGGTTATCCAATATCAAATGTGGAGATGAGGAATTTGATCAGATATGCAGGATGATCAGATATCAAGTGAGGAAATGAGGAATTTGATCAGATATGCAGGGTCATCAGATATCAAGAATGGGGCAGGAGGGAATTCTTATAAAACTGAGTTAGCAAGCTTCTTGCTACAACTAGACTAGGCAGACCAAAGACTTGCCAAAGACACAGCCTAGTTCAAAAGAGCCTGACTAAAGTTTGGTCAAGAAAGAGTCTTTGTCAGAACCTTAAGGGTTCTGGAAGTAAGGGACAGAACTGTCTTCTAAACAGTTACAAAGGGGATAAAATTTTATGAGGGAGGACCCGCCCCCCCAAAATGGAATTATCTTTTAGAGGGCAGACCCCTTATAGTACACTCAGAATTTATTCCTCTGTATACAATGGTCAACCAAAGTTTTAATCTGGAAGTTTTGAGAAGGTTGCCTCACGATTTTCTGAAGAAACATCCCAAGTTAGGACAATGCACCTGTCCACAGTGTTGAATGTTCAGTTTCTGACCAGAAATGGCTTGACTCCCATGTCCCACCCTCCCTATTGAGCTAATCTCACCCCTAGCGATTTGTTTGTTTGTTTGTTTGTTTCCCTGGATGAAAAAAGTCCTCCAAGGGAAACATTTTGCTGATATGGAAGAGGTAAAATGAAAAAATGGCAGAAATACTAAAAGACATCAAAATTGATGAGTTCAAAAGCTGTTTTGAGCAGTGGAAAAACTGTCCTGATAGATGTACTGCATCCAACAGAGAGTACTTTGAAGGTGATTGAAGTTTAAACATGTAGAAAGAAATACCCAATTTCTTATAAATAAATTCCACTTTTGACAGTCCTTCCTCATATGCCTTTTTTAAAAAAAAGAAATGTAATGAATCATTTTAATCAGAGAAATATACTTTAAAAATATTTAATCAACAATGTTAAGAATTTTAGAAGCCTATTCATTTGAAATTTGTATTTCGTAACAATTTTAGACTTACAGAAATTTGCAAAGACAGTAGTACAGAGATTTCCTCTCTTCCTTTCACTCAACCTCTCCCAAAGTTAACAACTTGAAAAAACATGGCACAATCATCAAAATTCAGAAATTAAGATTGATGCACTATTATTAACTAAACTTCAGACTTCACTCAGATTTCCTAAATTTTTCATTGATAATCCTTTTTTGAATCCAATACCAAATATTAATCCAGAATCCCATATTACATTTCATTGCCATACCTCTTTAGTTTCATCCAATCTATAATATTCTCAGTCATTCTGACTTTCATGACCTTGAGACTTTTAAAGAATGTGAGTCAGTTATTTTATAAATTCTCCATCAAATTAGATATGTGTAACATAGTGTATGAATATTGGTTTATTAATTATCACAAACTCCCTTATCAAATATAAGATTTTGATAATAAGGGAAACTTATTATACAAAGACTCTCTGTGCTATCTTCATAATGTTTATGTAAATCTAAACATATTCTAAAATAAAAAGTTTATTAAATAATTTACATGCTCTAAGTAATAAACTAAAAAATAAAAGGCAGGTTGCAATTTTGGAGGAAATATTTACAATACTTATATCAGTAAAAGGATTTTTATCCAGGCTATATTAAAAATTAATAAAGAAAAGCAATTAATTGATAGTTGATAAATGCATAGAAATGTACTTAGCATCATTGCTCACTAAGAAAATGCTAATGGCAACTACTGTGACATGGCACATTACAGAAACCAGAATGCCTATATGAAAAAGACTGACAATACTAAGTTAAAAAGGAAGGTGAAGAAGCTAGAACTCTCACACATTCTGGTAGAAATATAAAAAATGTTATAACCCCTTTGGAAGATTGATTCTTATAAGGTGAAACATGTACATACCTTAACCTCACAAATTTTACTACTGGGCATTTATTTATGAGAATGAAACAAATCTCTATAAAAAAGAACTTTTACAAGAAAATTCATGGCAGCCATATTTATAATAGCTAAAAACTACAAACAACCCAAGAACTCATCAACATTAAATGCATAACTATATTCAAGGTTATTCATTCAATGGAATACTACTTAGCAATAACACAACTTACTGGTACATACAACATATGTGAATCTCAGAAACACATTGAACAAAAGACGACACATACAAAACGGGCATTGTATTTCTATATAATTCCAGGAAGGAATAACATGAATCCTCGATGGTGGAAATCAGAGCAGTGTTTGCCTGTGAACACTGGAGATTTACTGTGAGAGAAGACAAGAAATT